GTGGGGTCTGCCCCAGGCGGTTCGAGCTTCCCAAGGTGAGGTTGTAGTTCTGGGCGGACATCGCCTCCGAGAGGCCTTTCTGGGGTTCGTGCGCCTCCCAGAGGTGCGCGTGGAAGGCGCCCGACCTCCACCTCCCGAACCGCTTGAGCCGCCCCAGGTCTGGCATGGCGCGGTACATAGCCGTGGCGCCTCCGATCCTCGGGGAGTGGCTCCCGATGTGCGAGGGATGTATCCCCACCGCCTTCGCCGCCTGGCCCAAGAGGTCGGTGATGTCTTTCCGCCGGATGGGGTTCCCATCCCCGTCTCGGAAGAGAGGGAGGTCTCCCTCCGAGGTCCACCGCTGGGGCGCCAACCTCTCCAGCTCGGCGAGGGCCCCGACAGGGCAAAGGGGGTTGCCCGTGGCGTAGTGGTTGCGGCAGCATCCGAAATTGTACTGGTCGGTCTTGCTCCCCTTGATGTAGATAACCACCTCGTCCGCGGACGCGAAGGTGGGGCAGACCGCGCCCTCCCTCCTCGGGGTGACATCCCCCCCGAAGAGGACCCGCTCCGCCGCCCAATCCCTACCCCCGGAGGTGTCGGCGAGGTACTCGGAGGCGCGCAACATAAAGAAGAAGGCGGTGGTGAGGGCGGCCCAGGCGGCCGCGTCTTCTACCCTCCCGGTGTCCAACTTCCCCCTTAGCCAACGCATCATCTCAATGGTGACAGGGTACTTCCGGTTCTGCTTGGCGCCCATCCTCCGTAGTCCCCCCAGCGCCAGCGCGAGCCTGGGGGCCAGCTCCAGAGGGTCCGGGTATCCCGCCGCGATATGATAGTGGCGGACCGCCATCAGCTTTCCCCGGATCGCCCCCTCCGAGCGATGCTGGACATGGGCCAGGTGGACGATCCAGTCCAGGAGCACGTCCTCATCCTGCCGCCGGCCCTCCCTCCCCAGCCCCGTGAGGAGCGGGCTCCCGCCCCGGGCTTTGAGGAAAAGGCACCACTGCCTCCACGCCACGGCGTAGGAGGTGCGCGTCCCCTTTGCGAGGTTCCCGAAGATGAGGCTGCCCCGTAGGCGCTCCCTCTCGTCCGCCAGGTGGCCTCTCCCAATCTGAGGTTGCCCCCCCTCCGCCGTCGGCAGAGGGCACTGGGGCTCCGCCTGGGTCTGGGGCTTCCGGCCGCGAGGCGCCGCCGTGAGCGCCCCCATGACCTCCTCCTCCTCCTCCTCCTCCTGGGCGAGGCGCATCAGGCGCGGGCTCCTTGTCCCCCTCTCGGTCCACGTCGCCCCCGTCGGGGGGGCGGTGCTGGAGGGGGCGAAGGAGCCCCCAATCCCCCGCGTCCGGGGCCCTAGCAAAGGGGGAGCGGGCCCCGCCAAGTGGGGGCCGCCCAGCAGGCCTGCACCTCCGCTCTGCGGGGTCCCTCCGGGTGGCCCTCCAGCCCGGGCCCCGCGGGCCTCTCGGAGCCACCGCTCGTAAGCAGTCCGGGGGTCCTCGGGGTTAGCCTTCCAGGCGCTGAACCACGTCGCGTTGGCCGCGGCCATGAAGTCCTCATCAGGGTCTCGGCGCACCCCTGCCCGGGCTCCCTTCGCGAGGAGGCCCTCCCTCGCGCTGGCCGCTGCCCACAACACTTGGTGTGCGGAGACGGGCGGCATGGAGCGGGCGGCACCCATGAGGAGCACCTCCTCCGGTACCCCCGCACGGGTTCCCTCCCGCCAATCGTGAATCGTGAAAGGAGGCCCCCGGAAATCTGCCAGGCCTCCTTGGGATCGAAGCGCCTCACCCGAGGGGTGCCATCCCCCCGCGTGTCTTCCAATAGCACGGGGTAGTGCCCGGAGACCTCGTCAGGGTGCCAGAGTGGGTAGTCAGGCCCGCTGCTCATCGGGCTAAGGATGACCCTGACGTCTCCCTCCGACTCCCGGGTGCTCTTCCAGGTCCCGGCCGCCTGGAGGGCGGTGGGGCGCCCTCCCTCCCCGCGGTCGGCCCTCTCCGGGACCTTGAAGTGGCGCCAGTGGGCCCTCCCCTCCTCCTCCTGCATGTAGAGCTCCGGAGGGACCGCCTCGGGCGTCAACAGGGCGCTGCTGAGGTTCAGTGGGACCAATCGCTCGCCCCGCCGCAGGAGTGCGAGTGCGGCGCTCCCCCAGTTCCCCCCGTCTCTCCAGGCAAGGAGGAGGCGGCGCGACCTGGCGCACCGGCCCCCAAGGAGGTGGGTGTGCACCACGCTCTCCGCAGTGTCGTACCCACCCTCCTGCAAGACCTCGCGGGCTCCCCCCAGATCCTGGCCCAGAGGTCCGTCCAGCACGACGAGGGTGGCGGCGTGGGAGAGCGCGTACCGCACGAAGTAGAGGGCCTCTCGGCCGGTGGGGTCGCTGCCACTGGAGCAGGTGACCCAAGTCTCCTTCGCCGCGGTCCTGGCCCGCCCGGCCCGGTCGGCCACGAGTCGATTCTGGTGGCCCTCCCACCAGGGGTGGCTCACGGCTGAACCGGGATTGGGGGTGGTGGCTCCGATCCGTGCCCCCATCTCTCCGGCCACCCGGCAGTGGGGGGAGAGGGTCGCACGCCACTCGAAGACCTGCACCCCGGCCAAGGGTCCGGCGGGCGGTCCCCGCGCCCGGCGGCGCTCCACCAGCTGGTAAGCCAGCCGGCGTCCCTCCTCCGAGTCTCCAGGGAGGACCAAAGGGCGGCCTTTCTCCGCCCCCGCGAGCACTTCCCTCCAGGGTCCCTTGAGGTCGATCTCCTCCAAGCCGAAGCGGTTCATCTCCTCCTGGACTACGCTCCTCGTCTCCCGGGAGATGAGGTCCATGCTGCTATTGTGCTTGGTCCAAATTCCCGCCGTGACCGTGTGGAACCCGTGGCGGGTCTCCAGGAGTTGGAGGAGGCGCAGTCCGTAGCGGGCGAGGCGGTTCTTCGCCGTCCGCTTGTTGAGCCAGATCTCCGCGCTGGTGTTGTCCGTGACGTAGAGGACCAGGCGCCCCTCCCATCTCGGGGCCTGGGCCACCGCGAGCACCAGGAAGGTAAACAGCTCGCAGATGGCGATGATGTCGGCTCCCTCCCCAAAAACCGCGTGGAACGGCTCCATGACCTCCTTGACATCCATGACCCCGTACACCCCGTTTGACCAGTCTGCGGCCCCCACCCGGGTCTCGGTGGCGTCCCCTCCGGTCCAGACCAGCTCCTCCATTCCGCCGGGGAGGGCGAGCCGCTCCTGGGGTTGGAGGACCCCCTTCAAGCCTGCATTAAAGTGGGTGGTCCAGGCCTGGGGCGCTCCCGCGTATAGGCGGAAAACTTCCAGCGCCTCCCACCACTCGTCCCACGCGTCCTTCTCCCCCCCCTCGCTGCTCTCCTCGATCTTGACCCAAACCCCAGCCGGGTCCGCAGCGCGGAGGAGCCGGTCTACCGCCCCCAACTCGGGGCGGAGGGGGGGGCAGGTGATGGCCGCGAAGTTGAGGGTGCCGCGGAGGACCTGGACATCCTTCAGGGCTTCCTGGGTGTTCCCCGTGTCGTAGGCCGGGTCACTCAGCAGGATCCGGATCTTGTTGACCTTCTCCTCGGGGAGCCGCAGGGTCTCCTCCTCCGTGTTCACGTGGACCCCCCAGCAGATCTGGTCCACGCGGAACTCTCCCTCCTCGTCCTTCTTCTCCGCGTTGATCGCAAGAGGCCCGAATACTCTACGGGCCCCCTCGAGGATCCTCGGCCAGCCTGGCGGCCATCCAGGGGCGCCGTCCCAGGAGGGGCTCGATGAGGACGTCGTCGTCCATGAGGAGGTGCGAGTGGTGGGGCACGTCGTCGTGCCATCCTGGGTCGGCCGGCCGGTGGCGGTCATGGCACTGCTTCAGGGCCGTCCCGAAGGCCATGTACTCCCCCGGGCCCCCGATCCACCCGAAGGTGAGGACGAGGTAGATGGCCACCAGGTTGCCCTCCATCCCGACCACCTTGCCAGGGAGCTCCGTGGCGAACATGCCGGCATCCTCCGCCCGTAACCAGATCCAGCGGAAGGCCTCCGCTATGTCCCGCTTGGCGATCCGGATTTTTACCCCCGGGTGCCGCTCCTTCCACCAGGTGATCTCTCGCGCCAGCCCCCGATGGCGGGGCTGCAAGGCTGGGGGGTGGAGGTACTTGTGCCCCGTCTCGTTCATCGCCCTCTGGTCGTGGATAAACCTTCCTTCCTCCGAGATCGTGCGGTCGGGGTTCATCTTCGGCACCCTTCCCCAGGGGGAGGAGAGGACCCCGCTTAGGTAAGGTTCCGAGTCCTTTCCGCAGAGGGGGGCCCTCCCCCTCTTGGCGTCCTTCCACAACTTCTCCATCGCCTCCTCCATGTGCCCCTGCACGCTCATGTGCGGTTTGGAGGGGACCCGAACCTGGGCCAGCGGTTGGCGGGCGGGAACCCCGCCCTTCACCATCTGGTGGAGGTAATCCCTGATGTCGGGGTCGAGCAGCTCGCATAGCTCATCCTTGAAGACCCCGTCCAGGTTGTTCCCCCACCGGCTCGTCCAGGCCTCTCGGTAGCAGTCGACTGCTTCCTTCCAGCCTCCCGCCGCCTGGACTAGGCCATCACCGAGTCGGGCCCCCTCCTTCACAACTTCGGGGGAGTACTTGGGGTTGTCCGCGCAATGAGTGCACAGCTCCTGCGCCCAGTCCTGAGCGGTTCGGCCCGCTCTCCCCGGCGCCTGGTTTCCCGATTCCGTCCCGCTTTCCAGGCTGCCAGCTGCCCGTTGGGGAGGCATCCAGGGCCCCTCTCCCTCCCCATCTTGGCTCCCTCCCGCGTCGTCCCCTTCCTCTCCTGAGGGCCTGAGTTTACCATCTCCCGTGGCCCCCCCCCCCCTCGAGGGCGTGGTGGGTGGGTGTTTCGTGGCCGTCCAAATGGCCAGCGCCACGGCGCGGGCGAAGCGCGGGGGGTATTGGGCGGCTTCCCTTGTCCGCTTGATGCCTGTCCCTGGGACGTTGCCCCTGAGCTCCACGTGCTGGTGCGTCGGGGAGAGACCGGGGCAGGGTCTCCGGAGCTTCGTGAAGAAGGGGGCCAGGTTCGCGGAGACGACCAGCCAGCGCCCCTTGCGATAGAACTGATGGGGGGACGAAGCGTCTGAGGGATGGAGGCCCCAGGCGCGCATCGTTCCCGGGATGATCACGGCACCGGTCTCCTCCAGGATTTCCAACCACTCGGGGAGGTGGTAGACCTTGGGATATATCCCTCTGTGCTCCTGGTTCTCGAAGATCCATCCCTTCCTCCATTTATGAAGGTTCCGTATGCACCTCACCGTGGTCTGGGAGAGGGCGTTTCCCAAGACCTCCTTGCCGTTTACACCGGTCCCCTCCGGCTTCTCCCAGGTGCGGGTGCCCCCTTTGGTGTTGTGGTCGCAGAAGGAGGTGCACGGGTTTTCGAACATCCACACGTTGGCCACTCCCGGGCCCGGGGGAGTATCTGCCTCTTTGACCAGGGCCTCGGCGACGTCGGGGTTCGAGAGGTCGTGGTCCCCCCTCCTCTCTGACTCCTTGGGGTGCAGGGGGTTCCGGTACAGCTCCACAGGCTCATCCGCTTGGATGCCCAGCTGCTTCGCCGCGCGGGTCACCCCCGCGGTTCCCGCGAACACTTCCTTGAAGCGGGGTCCCCAGCGGAAAGCGGGCGTGCCCCCCAAAGCTCCGGGGTGCTCCGAGACGAGCTCCTCCCACAGCTGGAGGGCGGCCCTGATTGCGGGTGCCCGGGCAGGCTCTGCCGTTGCAGCCCTCCGGCCAGCCCTGAGAGCCGCCTCCCTCGCCGCGGGGCGCTCCTCGCATGCCTGGCACTTGACGTAGGTGCTCCAGGAGACCTCCGTGCCTCGGGCGTCGCGGTTGAGGAACTCCTCCCAGCCATTCATGATCGTGGCCTCCCTCCGAAGAGTCTGATGGAGGGCTTTCAGGCACGCACCCCCTTTCGCTTCTCCCGAGGTCGGGGTTCGGGGGCGGAGGGCGCGGGCGTGCCCCCGGTGGATCAACATCCAGGCCCGAGGTGAGCCCTCCCCGGAGCGGGCTCCTTCCAGAAGGTGTGTGTGGTCACTTTTCCACCGTAGTCCATCATCGCGACGTTTAGGACGACATCCTCCAGGAGGCGGAGGGGGAACACGACCAGGGCGCGGTAGTCCTTGTCGCGGTGTGGGGCGGCCGCGTCGTGGATGAAGATCCGGAGGTCCGCCTCCCCGACCACCAGCTTGGCCCCCGGAGGCCCCAGTGATTCTTCCGCCCGAACTGCTTGGTCCAGCTGCTCCGCTCTGGCCGTGAGCGTGCGCGCCCAGACCTCCGAGAGGCTGGGCGGCCCCCTTCCCTCGCGGGCCCAGAGGGCGGCGCCCACCGCGCTCAGGAGGATACACTGCTTTCTCTCACAGTCCTCCTGGATGCCCAAGCGCTCCGCGAGGAGAGGGTCCTCTCTGAGGGGGGGGCGGTCGTGGAAATCGAGCACGTCCCACTCCCCTCCATTCATTTGGAGGGTCCCCCGCCCTACCCCGTCCCCCTCGTCCGGGGCTTGGAGGAGCCGGGCGTGGCCCCTGCGGTCTGGGGGGCGGACGCCCCCCCCCCCGGGTGCCGCCGGGCTCAGGCGCGAGCCGATCGAGGCAGTCGGCGGCCTCCCTGACCAGCTTCCAATTGGGTCCGTCCACGATCCTCCGGAGTACGGCAAGCACCCCTTCTGTCGCCGTCGAGGCCAGGTGCTCCTCCAGGAGGTGGTTCTTGACCGCGGTCTCCAGGTGCCGGGAGGGCCCCCCCTTGAGGAACTCCCGCACATCGGGGCGCGCGTTAATGGCCTGCATTCCGGCCTCCCGCGCCTCCTCCTCTGGGTCGTCCGGGTCCCCCACTGGGTTGAGGCGATGCGCCTTATGGTGGTTCTCGGTGAAGCTGAAGTCCGGACCGTTGGGGGTGAACCAGTCATATTCCCCCCTGGTCGGGTCCCAGGCCCGGACGTGCGCGGGTGGCTCGCCCCCCCGCCCGGTTGAGGGCCCCCCACGGAGGGCGGCCAACCGCGCCGGTTGATCCTGTTCCGCCACCACGGGCTGGTCCTTCCAGCCCCCTCGGCGCACCAGCTCCCCCATGAGTGGGGCCGGCAGTCCCCGAGCGGGTCCCAAGTCGCAGCGGGCGTGGGGGCAGACCCCCCCCCTCCCTCACACCCCCGGTGGCTGGCGTAGTCCCAGCAAAGCAGGAGCCCCCTCTGGTCCCTGGGAGTAGCCCCCCGCGCCAGTGCCTTCCGCACCGCTCGGGCGTAATCCGGGGCTGTGGAGGGGGGGAGGCTCCCGCCAAGGGGGCTGTCCCCTTCCCTTCCCCCTCGATCCCCGGTGAAGGACTTCCTGGCTGTCCCCCGGCTCCTCCTCCCGCAGTGTGCCGGCGGCAGTTTGGGCGGCGTGGAGGTAGCCACCCAGCGTCTCCCCCTCCTCCGAAGTGGCGCTCTGGCTTCCCGCCCCGTCCCTTCCCGCCTCGAGTGGCGCGTCGGGGGCCGGGTTGTCCCCGCCAGCCCGGGCGGCCGCCTCGTTCGGCGCATCCAAGGCCTCCTGGGTAGGGGGAATCAGGTAGCGGATCTCGCTCTCTTCGTCGGCCAGGCAGGTGCGGTTCTCGTTCAGCACGAAGCCTCCCGGCGGCGCACTCGCCGAGCGAGGCTGCCGGGCTCGGCCTCCGGTGGCCCCTTCTTGGATGGCCGCGGCGGCTGCTAGGTGGTTAGCGCGGATACTAAGGGGTTAGAGGATTTAGTATGTACGTACAAGTGAGTTGTAAGTAGGTTATAAGTGTTGTAAGTCGGATGTAAGTTGTATAACCAGCTACAACTGGTTAGTAGGAGATACTAACCACTTATAGCTGGAGGCTAACCTTGCTAAGTCTCTAGTAGAGGTTAGCTCGCTAAGTCCCCACTCTAGCTACCACTTGCTAACCACTTAGTAACCACTTAGCTGCCACTTAGTAACCACCCAGTAACCACTTACTAACCACTTAGTAACCACATAGTAAGTCCGCTAGCTAGCTTACTTACTAAGTGGTTAGCGGACTTACTAAGTGGTTAGCGGACTCTGAGAAGGAGAAGGAGGAGGAAGAGGAGGAGGAGGAGGAGGAGGAAGAGGAGGGGGAGAGAGGAGGAGGAGGAGAAGGAGGATGAGGAGGAGGAGAAGGAGGAGGAGATGTCGAGGAGGAGGAGGAGTAGGAGGAGGACGGGGAGGAGGATGAGGAGGAGGAGGAAAGGGGGAGGCGGCGGCGGAGGCGGCGACGGGCGCGCCTCAGCCCAAGACGGCCGCTCGACGCGGCGGCCCTGCAGGGCCGCCGCGTCGAGCGGCAGCCTGGCGCGGCTGAGCGCGGCGCAGGCGAAGTTCGCCTGCGCCGCGCTCTGCGCCGCCATCTCCAGCGGCATTGCCGCTGGCGCGGGCGGCGGGGGGGCCCCGCGCGCCGCTCGGCAGCCAGAGCGGCCCACCGCACGTAGCCGTCGTCCACAACCCAGAGGGTTGGGGGACGACGACGTGCGACGGGCCGATGGCTGCCGAGCCCGTCCCACCCCTCGGGGATGTCGAGGAGGATCCCCGACATCCCCGAGGGGTCCTCCGAGAGGAGACTGCCCCATGGCTCGGGGTCGCCATCGAAAAACATGTCTTGATATGTTTTTCGGTGGCGATCCCGAGCCGCGAAGCAAAGGGAAAAGGGAGGGCGCGCTCCCCGCGCGGCCCGTAAGCCGCACGCGCGCGGGCGGCGTCTCCTCCTCCCCCCTCCTTCTATCCTCCTCCTCCTCCTCCTCCTCCCTCTCCTCCTCCTCCTCCTCCTCCTCCTCCTCCTCCTCCTCCTCCTCCTCCTCCTCCTCCTCCTCTCCGCCTCCTCCTCTCGCCCTCCTCCTCTCGTCATCATCATATACTCCTCCCTCGTCCTCCTCCTCCTCATCCTCCTCCTCGTCCTCCTAACCCTCCGCTCCTCCATCGTCCTCCTCCTCCCCCCATCCCCTCCTCATCCTCCTCCTCCTCCTCCTCCTCCTCCCCTCCTCTACAGCTTACACATTATGAGTACTCTTCTGCTCTCTCTCTTCTCTTTCTCTTCCCTCTTCCTCTCCTATCTCCTCGCTCTCTCCTCTCTATCTCTCTCTTCTCTCTCTCTCTCTCTCTCTCTCTTCTCTCTCTCTCTTTCTTCTCTCTCTCGCTCTCTCTCTCTCTCCTCTCTATCTCCTCCTCATCCTCCTCCTTCCTCCCTCCTCATCCTCCTCTCCTCCTCCTCCTTCCTACCCTCACTCCTCCTCCTCCTCCTCCGCCTCCTCCTCCTCCTCCCTCCTCTCCCCCCCCCCCACTCCTCCCCATCCTCTCTCGCTCTGAGCTATCTCGTTTTTTCCGCTCCTCGGGTCCTCCTCTCCCTCCTTCTCCTCTCCTCCTTCCTCTCCTCCCCCCCCCCCCCCCCCCCCCCCCCCCCCCCCCCCCCCCCCCCCCCCCCCCCCCCCCCCCCCCCCCCCCCCCCCCTCGTCAGAGGAGGGGGGGGGAGAGGAGAAGGGGGAGGGGGAGCAAGATGAGGAGGAGGAGCAGCAGTAGGAGCAGGAGGAGGAGGGGGAGAAGGGGGAGGATGCGGGGAAGGAGGAGTTTGAACGACCGCACCACTGATCAACGACATTAGCGCTGCAGCGCAAGAGGAGGAGGAGGAGGAACGAGGCGGAGGAGAGGAATCGGCGACCATGCACTGTTCAGGTGCTGCAGCACCGAAGTGTCAATGAAAAAGGTGCGCTATGCAGAAGGAATCCACGTTTTCAAGGCGGAGAAGAGGAGTCGTCGACCATGCAACGTTCAGGTGCTGCAGCACCGAAGCATTTAGCAATGTAAAAAAGTGCGCTGCAGCGCCAGTAAGGAATCCACGTTTTAGGCTAAAGCGCACCACCGCGGCTGCGACCATATCGGGCGCGCCGCTCGGATGCCGCCGCCCTCGCGCGGCGCCCGCGCGAGCGAGCACACGATGCTCGCCGTGTGCGCCCAAAAGGCGTCGGCATCGCCGCCAAGCACGTGCGCGGAGGCGCGCGGGTGCAGCTTCTCCTTGAAGAAGTAGGGCAGGACCAAGCTCAAGCCATAGTAGTGGCCGTTCTTGGTGAAGGAGAGGTGTTTCAACACCTCGGCCGCAATGTGTTCCCCTCCTCCGTCCTCCAACAGCACGACGTCGCCGTATTTGACGTCGTGGTAGCGGCGCCGCGCTGCAGCGGACGTAACAAAGTCCGCAGGCCCGAACTGCTGCAGCAGTTCGCGCGAGATGGCCTTGGACGGCCTGGTGGCGTTAACCAGGCAGTTAACCTTAAAGGTGCCGCCATCCATGAGCTGCCACAGGTGCCGCTCGGTGACGCTCTTCAGGACATTGGCGTCCCAGCCGCTGGAGGCTGCAGCCCCCACCTGAAGAGCGTTCGCAAAGCGCTTGCTGGTCTTGTGCTTGCGCTCCAAAACCCAGCACGACGGCAGCGCCACATGGCCCCAACGCCTCACGTAGTTGGCGAAGTGGTGCAGGTAATGGAACTTCTGCGACATCGTTTCCTTGCCAAAGACGCTGCTGTATGACAGCAAAAACATGTTAACCGCAGCCTGCAGCTTATCCGCGTCTGCCTGACGCCTGGATACTCGTAGGATTTCTTCCGCAACGATCGTGTGCGCCTCGAACACTGCGCAAGCAGATCGGACTGCAGGCGCTGCAGCGTCGCTAGCCACCTCCCTGAAGAAACACGTCAATCCGCCCGCGCGAACGCATGTCCGAACAAGAGGGGTGCAGTACATATCCTACAGAAATTCACGTGCGCTGCAGCGCATGTATTATTGGTCTGGCGGGGGCGCGAAGCATGCAATGATACTTGCATGGTTGTGAGCCCCTCGCTGGCGGTACACTTGAAATGCTTGCTGTCAACGTGGGACCTCGCGCG